ATATTAAATGTTAGATTAATAAAATGATTATTAGATGTTAATTTTAATGTTAAGTTTATCTATTTAATAAATTATTCGTCTTTTCTTAAAACTTTAGATCAGATATAAGATAAACAAGACAAAAGTGAATATATAATTATTATAATTATATGAAGTGATTTTTTCTAATGTGAATACTGAGTCACATATTCTTTATAATATATATTATTTCATTGGAATTTCCATTTGTCATAATTCTTCTTAAAACGTCTGCGACGCGTTTGTATTTAAATAAAATGATTAATTATATAATACATCAGTTTCAATTCTAATATATAGATGATTAACAATACATAGATCAATGATTATGAAATTTCAGAAAGAAAGGGAAATATAATGAAAGAGGTAAGAAAATGTAGTGGGTGTGTATTAAATGCAAATAGATTTAATTAGAACCTTTCATACTTTAATTTGGCATGTGACAATTTGATCGACAGTCCCTACTTACCAGTTAAAGATAACAAGTATGTTTGTTATGCGAACTAAAGTAGCATTTACCTGACTTGATGGATATATCCATTTTCTTAATCTCGCCGTACAATATAGCTGCTAGCCAAGATAATGCGATTAACCAGAATGTAATTAGTATCGCCGCCAACCACAGGGATACAACCCGCATATCCGACTTGTTACATCCATAAGAATTATTATTATGTCTGGTCCTAGATAAGATCCGTGACCTGTGCCGCCTGTAATTTGAAAATATCGCACTTTCACTAAGAGCGAAGCTACGACCTTAATTGTCTAATCTTTTATTTATAATATATATAAAATAGAAAATAGGATTAGACATATCAATTCTCTGAATTTTATTGTAAACAAACCGACTTACCGTTTGACTTTCTTCTTTTTCTGTGGTGCGAGGATCAGGTCGGTGCTGTCGGAATCGCTTTCTGACAGCAGGTCGAGCAAATTGATAGTCTCCTTGGGATTGGACTTGTCCATTCTCGTCGTGAAAGTGTATCATATGTCATGAATTGTCAAAATCATGGGCCGATTGTGGTCGATGTGACGTCATAACCTCTACGATTTATTATATACTACGCGACGAATGAGTTATTATATGGTAACTCTATCTTTTTCTCTCTCCAGCGATTTCTCTTTAGATTTCCTCAGAGCAATTGCATTTAATTTCGTGTACTTTGTCAGTTAGGAATGCATCTTACACTTGTCACAACATAACCTGTAAAAATTAATCCACTCCTCTCAAGTGCACCTTCCGTAACTATTCTTCTGTTCTTCAAGATTCTCTTTCTTT